ATATATATATATATATATATATATCAAGTTAATTAACTAGAAAAATTTTTATGTTTATGAGACATTTTATTGGAAAATTATGGATGAATTTCTAATGCTTGCACTTTAGATTTTTAGTGAATCAATTCCCTAACTCTAGAAATAATTATTTAATAAAAACATTTAAAAATAAATAATATAATTTTTCTTTTTCAGGTTAAAGAATCATCTTTAATAGGAGGAACGGAGACAAAAATTATTCTTAAACAAATTATGAAAAAGTTGTTTAGTAACACATTATTGCAATGCTACTCATTTGTTGGTAGAAGTGGAAAAAAAATGTTATTCTCAAAATGCCTATTTGTAAAGTTATATATGGTGAGAATTAATTGTTAATGTTTTATGTTGTATAGTTATTCACTAAATAATTCATTTTTGAGATTCAATCAAAATTAATTTTCTATATTGTCAAATTGATGTGGAAAACACACTGCAGACTTACCTATCTTAAGCACCCTTCAATATATAAATTTTTGGTATGTTTCTTTTCTAAAAATTTATGACATAATAATGTATCCTACAATTGTCTAACACATTAAAATGTAGTATTGTTGGATTATTATTATTTCTATTATTACAGATTTTTTTTATTGTAAAAATAGCAAAATAATACTTTCATAATAAAAAAACCCAACAGAGTGGGGTGGCGGCACAGTGGGGTCGTGGCATAATTGGGTCCAGAATAGATGATATCTGACAGTGATTAAAATCACTATCATAAAAAACACTTCGATGCAAATCTGTATATAGTGTTTAATTTAAAAAAAATTTTTTCAAAATGTAGGTCAAGTGAGAGCTGACAAAATAAATGATAACTACAAAAAAAAACCACATAGTAAAATAATATTAATATGAATTTCTTCTCACGAGAGGAGACTACCGTAATTGGATCCTTGATATTTATTGAAGTTATTGAATCTAAATGAGATAAAAATCAAATGAGTTAACACATTTTTTTCTAACTCAAAAAGAATTAAGAAAAAGTTCAGTGTCACAGGCGTGAAAGACCCAAGTGTTACCGTCACAGAAACCGTACGTTGCATTCGTCACTTATTAAAAATGGAAATTTAACTAGTTCAAATTTTAAAGTTATTTTTCTCAACTTCAAAGAAACAAAAAAATTTGAATATGTTAAATTTTTTATACTATGTCAATTAGATTGATATAATATATATGAAAATCGGTGTAATCCCCTTATAATAAAATAAAATACAAAACCAAAAATTTTAACACAAAAATAGCATATTTTTGTATACGGTAGCTATTTTCACCATGCAGACAAAATAAAGTCCGAAATTTTTTTTTTAATATTAAAGTATACACATAAGCTATAATTTAAGATATATATAAAAGTGTTAGTATTTCCGGAACATTTTCAAAAGTCAAGTTGAAAAAATTAATTTTTTATGAAAAAGTTGTTATTTTGAATCCCTTCCTGTGGGATAATGCTGTAATTGTTTAATAATAATAATAATAATTATTCAATAATTTTAATACGTTAAATATCCATAATATTTTAAATATTAATTTTTATTTAGGAAAAACCATGGAATCGTATAGAAAGAGAATGAAAATGAATTTAGTTATAAAAAACATTTCAACAGTGGTTTAATAAACCAAATTTTAAAGACATAACTATCTACGATGAAACATTTTGTGCAGTTCACCTCAATCATGATGTCATTAATTTTGACAAAACAATATATGATGGTTTTAGTATATTATAAATTTCTAAAACTTTAATGTACGATTTCCACTATAATGTATGCGTCAATTTTACGGTAAAAGTATGGAGTTAATCTATATCAGTGGTTCTCAACGGGGGCGATATCGCCCCCAGTGAGCGGTGAAGTGTCACTGGGGAGCATTGAACTAGTTTTGGGCGGTAGGGGGGCGGTGAACTAGTTTAGGAATGGTAGAGGAATCGACTCGATATCGTGACAAGAGGACACTTATCACTCATGTTAACGAGTATCGAACCTAATGTCGAAAAACTGGCTAAAAACCACCAAGTTCAATCATCTCACTGAAATCATATCTACAAAAACAATAAAAGCAATATTTTTTATTTGATTTTAAAATCTTTTTTAAAAGCAATATTTTTTCTAAATAAACTAAAAATTGTATTTATTATTATAAAATAAAATTGATAAATTATTAATTATTTTTCAAATGTTTAATTTAATTACTTTACTAATACTATAATTAAAAAAATATGAAAAATAAAACATAAATGAAAACATTAGTTATGAGATAATTATTCAAATTTTTTTTCAAATTTTCCAAATCCTCAACTTCCTTCCTATCTCTCAGCCCATATCATTAATTATAAAATTTTCACATAGGGGGACGTTAAAGAATTAATTCCTACTCAAGGGGGCGGTAACATAAAAAAGGTTGAGAAACACTGATCTATATTGATACCGACTCTCTTGTTTATTTAATTCACACGAATGACTTTTAAGAAAATTTACTGAAAAAATCAAGGTTTTTACAAAAATTGAACACCTCAAACCTAGACTCTTGTTTAAGCCTACACAATAAGTGTAGCTATTGTTGTTTTTTATCTTATCTTTGTTCAGCGGCTGCATAGTTGTCCGTTTTTAAAATCGACCAGTCTACCTTTGTAAAGCGCACCGCTCGCGTACATATAATATACGCATATCTATTTTTTCGTCTTTTACGTTTTTATTTAATTTTATCGAAGATGTTTAGTATTAAGAGATCACGCCGAAACAACTCTACTTATAAATGCTATAACATAGAACGTGCTAAATTACCCCGTACTTTTACAGGTAAATTATCATCAGGACAAATGCCACTGAGTATATTATTAATCAGCTAATAAATGATTTTATTCAATTAGGATATAAAGATAATCTTAATATCAAGAATGTACCCAATACGAAATTTAAGTCTGTCATTTTCCATTTGTGGAGTACAGTGTCCGTATCCAGTGCAAAGTTGATTTAACACGGTTCAATATCTTTGAGGAAGATGATATCGTGTTAGTGAGTTACCGAGTAACTGAATTATTTTATGAATGTCCAGATTAGATTTTTCCTAAACTGTCGTATCGGATCATGATAAGTTCTTTCGTACTTATGCAAGCCAGATTTTTGGATATCAGTCTGAGGCTTCCATGTCAGTATCCTGATGAATTGGGATATATTGGTTTTCATTGTATTTTATTCATTCTATATAACGGCGAATAAAAGGTAGAAATATGTTGCATAAGATTGGAGGCCACTGTTTCAGTGATGATTTTACTGTGACTATACGCTGAGATTATACCTAAGTCTAGTACTTCTTCGGTGATTTCGAATTTATTGTTCTGTATAGCCAATGAATATCAACATCGTATATAAATTTGTTTGATATTGTATTTAGTAAGTTACTAATATATTA